TCCAGCGAGGGGAGAGGGCGCCGCCTAAGGAAGCTGGACGGACACAGCCGTCGACGACTAAGGAGCAATAGCTACAACACCAACATGATTTCACCTTCACCCACTTCGAAGTGAAGTATCCGCCCACATGCAGGGCACGTCCGGAGGCTACCTGCATCCGTCGGGACCCAGCCCGACCCAGCCCGAACAGATCCGCTCATTTGTGAGTCATGATATCGCCTCCGTCTTCATCAATCCCACAACAAGCTCTTCAAAGCCCGGTTAGCTCAATCGGTAGAGCGTGAGACTCTTAATCTCAAGGTTGCGGGTTCGACCCCCGCATCGGGCTCAATTCCTGATGTTGTCTGTTCACACAGACAAGACCAAATCTTTTTTTGGTACATTTTGGCAGGTTCTGTGGGCGGCTGGCGTCTCCGGTGCAGATTTTTTTCGTTCCAAGGATTTGGGAGCGCAGAGGGTTAGGGTTGGACCCAAAAGGGTACATACCTTACCCACCTGACAAGGTACTTCCAGGTTAACTTGTCCATATCATCGTGGAGTTGCACAAGACCAACCTTCAAAACGTCTTTGATACTCCATATTGATCCAGGTTCTTGTAGGAGTGTCTTGAGTAACGGGGGTATAGCAGCCCTGAAGACATTCGAACAGGTCCGCGACCACGCGACCTCTCTGCCACTGGGTCTCTGCACCAACTGGCCTTCCCAACCTCCGCCAACTTACCGCCTTCAAGCCCATGGCTCTGGCATCAGATCCTCCAACATTTAAACCTTGACCTCTCGCACATCGTCGTGGAGGACTTTCTCGTCGTGCCCCTGCTGTGCCTGTGTGATTTTAGCAGCAGCAGCAGGCAGTACCGACTCGGAGGAGTCGACAACGGCGAGCTGGTTGTTCCGCTTCTTCTGCATCTTCTCCCTGTGAGCGAGGAAGGCGATGGTCGAAAACACGATTACGTTGAAGCCGCCGACGACTGCCGCAGCTCTGTTTCCGGGGGTGACTAAGGACCGGCGCCGGGCAGTCAGTAAGGTATACAAGGGCTTTTCTCACTTCGTTTGACAGGATGTAGTGGGGAACGAACCGTTGGGCTGGTGGACCTGTTGGAACCAGACTAGCGGAATCCATGCGCTGAAGGTGTCTGTACGGGAAACGACGTCAGCTTGCGGCCTCTCCAGTTGGGGGAGGCTGGCATATGTTGCCCCGGGGGGGGGTGGGGGGGCGGGGACCTCACATTGAAGAGTATTCATTGACGCGGCAGTAAAGGCACGCTGCTCAGCATTGTCGGAGATGAGCTCAGCCATCCAACTGAAGGCAAACCTTGATGTCAGCCGTCCCATATCCTCTAATGAAGCAACGCGGGAAACGATACGTACGCCATGGTCAACGGAACCATGCTTCCCCCGATAGAGGACACGATGTAGAGAGGCGCCCTGTGGGAGAAAGGACCGAATACCGGAGTCACAACGAGCAAGACGAAGACGGTAATGGCGACGAGGTTCGAGAAGATGATGATGGGCCACCGGCGGCCTCTCAGGGGTCCGTCGGATATCCAGACGGCGAGAAGGGAGTATACGGCGGTAAACGCATTTCCGAGGGTAGGATACTCGTTCTGGAGGTAGACACACAACATGGGTCAACCAAGGTTTTGAGCAAGAAATATGTCCATTGGGGGTGTGCTTACGATCTGAGCAATCGAATAGACGGGTGGCTCGCCCTTCTTGTTGTGCGCTTTCAGCCAGAAAATGAAGGCTGTCGCTGGTTGACTCCCGAAGGGTTGCATGGCTGTGTGATGACGACTCGTTAGATCGAGACTGAGCCGGTAGAAGACGGCCAAACTGACTGAAGATAAGAGTGAAAAGGAGTGTCTTCCAGCTCCTGAAGTACCCGAGGATAACCTTAGCAGAGTAGGGCTTGCCCTCGGGAGCTCGTCCGACATTCGCCATTCTCTCTCTTGCTATTTCGATCTCCTAAACAAGAACGCAGAGCTGTTAGTGATCGTCCTTGGTCAGCATCATTTCTGTGGTCGGCCCCTTTACCCGTTCTGTGAAGATCCAGTTGGCTTTAGCAGTGCCAGGGGTATCCGGCAAGAAGAAGAAAGCGAGAATGGCAACGGGCAGCGAGATGATTCCGTTGATGACTGTCACATTGTTAGAAAGTACACATCGAGTAGCCGTGGATACAGGGAGTAGGGGAAAAACATACTGAACAGCCACCTCCACCCAGCGAGTCCGGCATGGCCGTTGAGGCTGTTGAAAATGCCCGCTTGCAAGAAACCGCTGAAGATCGGGGCGATCGAGACGGCAGACTGTAGGATGCCGTTGCGTTTCCCAAGCTCGCGTTTAGTGTACCAACTGCCCAGGATGTAGTAAAGGGCGGGCCAGTAGCCCGCCTCAAAGAGGCCGACCACGAAGCGAAGACCGAGCATGGCTCTGTACGACTTCGCTCCTGCGAGGGCAAAGGTGAAGATAGTCCAGCCAGCTTCGAGGAAGGGGATCCAGACTATGCAGTGCTGTCAGCTCTCCGAGGTAACAATGCTTTCTCGCAAGTATGCCTACTGTGAGCGCGGACTCTTGTCAAGATGAAATTCGACGGCTGTGACATGGGCGTTAGTTCGAGATCCAAGTCTTAGGCACGTGCAAACGCACCCATTGCCCGATGATGTATCCCACCGTCCACGAGACGACGATGTAGTTGTACTGATTCTGAAGAAGATCGAGGTCCTCCTTCATGCCCGAGACGAAGGCATTGGTGATGTTGGATGTATCAATCTAGGCATGTATGAGTTAACAAGGACTCGAACATGACATGCCCCTTATAAAGATCCGCTTACCCATTTGATCAACATGCCCAGAGTTCCAAAGGTCAAGAGTGTAAAATCCAGCTATAGGCGGTGGCCTCGTGTTAGCATCCGAAGCAACCCTTCATGCCTCCGCGCCACTGACGAGTAACTGACTTTTAGGAGGAACCTTCGCTCTTCTTTCGGGACCCCAGTCGAATCCCATAGCCACTCTTTCCAACTCCCGGAAGATCTCGACGACGCTACTTGGGCCGATTTTTCTACCATGGCTTGAGATGTGAAAGGCGTAGAAGCAAGAAGAAACGGACGGGGACGGTGAAGGACGCCAGACAGACGGGCACGGGGTCAGCACCACCGCAATATTTATCAAGATGCCCACGCGACAACAACTAGATGCGCGCACGCAAACGACATCTTAGTACATTGCTCGCCATCAGTGGCGTTCCTGATTTCCAACTGCGAGACGATAAGACAGGCTGGAGGTTGTGCTCGTGGGGAAATTGCATCCAGAGCTGGCCGAATTCAGGAGAGTTCTAGACAAGCCGGCTCTGTCAGCACCCACTTTCGGCGACAACCTACATACAAAAGGCTGTAGCTTCGTTAGGTTTCAGATAAGACAGTCCTCAAAAGTCGTCTTAAGACTGTATTGTATAGCCGGTACCGTTGACTGAAAAGGTAAAGCGAGGTTGTCACTTGGTGACGAATTGGGACCGCATATGGCGTGACTTGGCGCGGCCGTGTTGTCGGTAACCGTCCGTTGCATCGATGCTCTAGAGTTATCACCATCTGTCGGGAACAGTGAATAACAACCTGGAAGTAAGAGTGAGAAGACATAGCATCCAATAGCTATGCTATAAAAAGCGTGTAAGTCTAGGGTGCCTTCAGAGTGCGCCACCGGCTGGACCTGATATCTAGCAATGATTCCGAGGCATATCGCATCTGAACGAGCAACACAGGAAGCAGCCTCGGGCGTACGAATTGTACCTAGAGTCCTAGCAAATGATGATTGCTTGAGATTTCGGGCGATAAGTATAGTCTCGCAATGAAGGATCGTATGGCATCACTTTAGTCTGCCACTCTGTCCCCCACGTTATCGACATCCGGCAGTCCGGCACCGAGGATGTCCGGCAAGGGCAACTAGCGGCGAGGCTGGATTCCCTTGACATGTCCGCGTTATGGGGTGATTCTTCCCTCGACCTGTACAGTGCCTTTATTTGGCTCTGCTGTCCGCTGCTCTCAAATTCCAGCTCCGGTGCGGCGGTGCGTCTGGTGCCCGCGCCAGCGCTTTCTTTCCGTTGTTTCCCTCGTTCTCGTCGTCTTTCGCTAAATACGCTCCGCGCGTCCGGTTGATTAAGGACGACATAAATTAGCAATCCAAGTTTCTGCCGGATCGGACAGAGAGCGGAACAGCGGAACACGCGGACGTATGCCTGCCTCGATCTCCAGTTCTCCACTGCCGACGGCGGCCGTGAGTTGACCTATTGAACTCAGCTTCCGACGATGGGAACTCCCACAAGCTGCCATTCCGCGAAAATCGAACTGATCCCGGGCGGCTCATGGCGGACGATGGGAGTCCATGGGTGAACTTTTGAGGGCGTTGTGGCGAGCCTTGGTGACGTTATTCTGAGTTCGGTCTTGTGAGAACCTGAGGTCATCACTAGTATGAGAGGAGTCGATGATTAGCCACAGTTGGAAGTCTTTCCAGACACCAGCTGGACGGAGTCTCTGTACTGGCAAGCAGTCAGCACAATGCACAGGATTTCGTTTCAGAGGTATGAGTGTTCAACACTCTACCAATTCGTGCGGTTCCGACTTGTTGTTTGGGCGCATCATCATGTGGACCGGGCCGGACTTCAGGTGCTTGCTCAGGAGCCAAAGGGGACCAGAGCAGATGCGCACATGCGCGATGTTGGGACGAACGAGTCATGACGTGTCCACTTCATCCCACCTCGGCCCAGCTGATGGACCATAGAGTGTAAGACCGAGCGTCTTCCTCCATGAACTAACAAATGTCGCGGTGCCGGAGTGGTTAACGGGCGGCCCTGCTATCTCAGCAGCTGTGAGGCCGTGTCCTCGGACGCGCAGGTTCGAATCCTGTCCTCGACGAATACTTTTGCTTGCAACTGCGGATGGGTTTTTAGTATGCTGAGCGGAATGGTGGGAAGATAGGATGTTCGAGGCGCAGGTTGAGCATACCAAGGAACAAACAGTCGCGGTGCCGGAGTGGTTAACGGGCGGCCCTGCTATACTTTCCTAGCAGCTGAGGCCGTGTCCTCGGACGCGCAGGTTCGAATCCTGTCCTCGACGATACTTTTTGCTGGAGTGTCGAAGGGGTGTAGTTTTGCTGTCTGAACCATTTTGGTGGTGGCGTGGGTGTTCATTCATTATATTGCGCCGAAATGGAAGCGACATCCTGGAGTCGATGTGATCGACCGGGCCAAGGAATGGCGTTCCATTTCTTTTCCTGAAATACCTTCCCTTAGAATCTGTGAGATTGATTCAGGAGCTGAGTCAAACTTTGAGAGATTATGTTGTGCTGCGGCATCTTTGGGCCGTTTGGTTGAATTGTGATAAAGGAGAAGTGGCAGGATGGCAATCACGGCAAAGAGCAACTTAAACGCACTGTCAAAAGGAGAATTATTGAATGCCTCCTTCCCAACAAGCAGAGACAATTGCAGCGCGCCTGCCCAGGTGACGCATTATTCGCAGCGGAACTGCTCAGTATTTGACCCGCTTGGCTGAAAGTCTCCAGCAGAGCGAACAACTGCAGCGAACCGAATGTAGAGAGCCGACCGGAACAGTGCACAGTGCAGGGTGCTCAGGTCTCCCTCGAACATTTCCATCCTTGCCTCAATCAAAGTACCACTCAATTACGTAGCACTGCAAGACACCCCGTACAACACCACCTATAAACAACATCCGTCAAACATTGTTCTGTCATTATTCGCATTGCTTTTTCCACAGAAGAGGGACGTGCATATCTGTCAAGCCCGACCTGGATATTCCTCTCGCCCAACAGCCGTTCAATCACAGCACTAACAATTGCATTCGACTAATGCCAAGGCGTGCAACATTGGGGTTGGAGGCAAGCAAACCGAACCAGGGGACCACGAGGGAGACGGCGTTCTCGCTACGGGGAACTGCCCCATTTCAGCACAGGGCGCATCATAAACCGAGGGGCGGTAGCGTGTGACGGTGGCGCTCTCTCTCGCATCCTTCTTGAGCGAACCTAGCTTCTCTTCTTCACCTTGGGGCAGGCGTTCTGTTCTTGCGAGTAATCGGTGCACAACACTGCCGCGGTATTTAGAGTGTCCTTACTGCCCCTCGCCGTTTGCCAGAGGAACAGCAACTGAGACGGCAAACCTTGACTCGCGGTTGGATTAGAAGATCGATTCCATCGTACGACGCGACATTTTGATCTGGATTCGCCCAATTGGACTGCGTGGAACTGGAATCGGCCGGTGTTCTCTCGACTTGCGCAGGGAGGGCAACATTGTCGGTGTGGCCAATTGAGAGAAGTGGGATTGGAAGTATTGCGCTTTTCGCAAAAAAGGGAACCATGAATATCGCAAACCTATTACAACGGCCCGAGGACGAAGAGAATGAGCGGGCGCAAAACGGAAACAATCGGGTGGAGGATCGCATACCGCTGCACAATGGACCGTCGGACCCCCGAACGGCAGAGCCATTCCGATTCAAGAGTGCCGGGACGCCACAAACGCACGACTCGCGAAGTTCAAGTGCGACTTTGGAGGCAGACCTCACGGAGGGGAGCAGCGCGCCGTCTGCCGCCCCGTCACTGACGTCCAGTTCAGCAGCCACACTCCCTTCTCAAGACCTGGACACGCGACTACCACGCTCCAGCAGCGATGACCTCCCACCACCACGGCAGACAGGCCACACCAGCGACCCGACCGACGACCGGGAGTTTCAGGAAGACATCGAGGCATTCGAGCAGGCCGAGGAGGGCGGCAGCATCGTGGTGGACAGCGACGACGTGGCCTCGGACGCGGGCTACGAGTCCGACTCGCGGATATCGGCTTCGTCGTCATTAGCCGCCAGCATCCGCGACTATGCCTTCGAGAACGGCCGGCGCTACCACCGGTTCCGCGAAGGGCAGTACAACTTCCCCAACGACGACGTCGAGCAGGAGCGCGAGGACATGAAGCACGCCATGGTCAAAATGCTGTGCCAGCAGCTGCACTTTGCGCCCATCGGGGAGCGGCCGCAGGAGATATTAGACATTGGTACGGGCACGGGGATTTGGGCTATTGAGAGTGAGTCGCCGCCTTTTTCCCCCACGTCTCATGTCTCATCTAGAGAGCTTCTGTTGTTAACTGTGTTGTCTGTGTAAAGTGGGCGACCAGTACGAATCCGCCAACGTGCTAGGCATCGACCTCTCTCCAATCCAGCCAGACTGGGTCCCCCCAAACGTCAAGTTCATGGTCGACGATGTCGAGAGCCCCTGGCTCCACCCGCGCAACCACTTCGACTACATCCACAGCCGGCACACGGTGATGGCCATCAAGGACTGGCCCCGGCTCCTGCGGCGGTCGCGCGAGCACCTCCGCCCCGGCGGATGGGTCGAGCTCCAGGAGGTGCACCACTTTCCCATCTCGGCCAACGGGTCCCTCATGCCGGACCACCCCGTGGCGCAGTACTGGTCGCTCATCAACCAGGGGCTCACGAACCTGGGCATCGACTTCCAGGCCACGAGCCACGGGAGGTTGGCGGACATGATGCGGGAGTGCGGGTATGTGAACGTCACGCAGAAGGTGTTCCATGTGCCCATCGGGACGTGGCCGAAGAATAAGGTTCTGAAGGCGGTGGGACTCTACTGGAGGACTATCCTGCTAGATGGGATCCAGGCGATTGCGCTGGGCCCGCTGACCAGGGGCTGTGGGTGGGCGAGGGAGGATGTCGAGCTGTTCCTTGTGCAGGTGAGAAAGGCGTATCATGACAATAGCTGCTTGATGTATATGCCGCTGCATATTGTCTATGGACAGAGGCCGCAGAATGACTACTAGGTCCTCTAGGGAGAAGAGAGCGTCGTTGGGTGTGTCGTTGCAGGAGTTCCAGATTGCTTGGTTATGTTGGTGTTGCCTGCTGTTGCTTCCATTCTCATGACCTGGAGTTTGCGTTAAGCATGTCTACGGAGTACTTGTCCATATCCTCTCACACTGAAGGAGTAAAGCTTGAATACCCAACCCGATTGTTGACCTTTCAAAGCTATGTTCGTTGTCTAGCAGGGTAACATTCCACTGTGAGGCTCAATTCTTCCCGTGCGTATCATAACTCGGTTCCAGCTCCTCGGGACACTCTGACATATCCCGGCTGCTACCAGTTATAGCATACAGACACGGCTCCGAGAATAGTAAGTAGTAGGTTGTGTTACACAAAGACAGAAGCGGGATGAACCCCCAGGAACGTGTGTGTCTGTGGAAACTTGAATTCGCGTGATGAGCCCAAAGAGGCGAGGTGTGTCTCGGATGGGTTCAACGCCACAGACTGTGCCATCATATCCTCCCACAAACATATTATGTCTTTTCGTATGGGCGGCATGGCATGGCAGGTACCCGCGATCTGTTCTCCGGCAAGACACGTGGTTTGATCGTGTCTGTCTGATGTTGACTCAAGCATTTCCGTCCCCTTTTCCCCTTTTCTCCTTTGAGCTATCGTCGTTCCGGTTGTGTTGCTGCGTTGTTATGGTTGACGACGGGCCGTCCCGTAACCTTGTACGGTAGTTCCAGCCAGTTTGGGCGTGGTTAGAGCCGAGCTGTAACGGAAGTGCTCTTGGATTACTGAGCAATGATAGACTGGTCTCTGTGATACACACCCGTGGCTGACACTCTAAACCTTTCCGGTAACCGAGGTGTGGTTGTTTCGTCGTCCAGTCCATCAAGTCAGGAACCCGAAGCTGCCATACTGAACCCGTGGCCAGAGCTTGGAGCAATCGTTCGACCACCACTACGTCTTTTACACGTATACAAGGGAATCCTAGGCATGATGTCGGGAGAGGTTGCTAGAGCCTAGAGCACCGGTCTTTGATCCTTCGACTGCGGGGAAGTGTTGTCGATGAACCCGGACTCCGCCGACTGGTGGTTTGAAGGAAAAGGGAAGGATCATGGCCAGGGCCGGGGATGATAGAAATGCGGAGCGGGGCGCATTATTAGCGGCGACAAGGGTTACCCTTACCGAAGCTCTGCTTTGAGTGGAAACCCCCGCTCGTTCAAACATCGTCACTTCCTGATTCAGCTCGACATTGAAGCCTTTTTTTCATCCAACCGGTCTGAAAGTCGATGTGATGGCAACCTAACAGATGGAGGCAAGCCACGAGATATTGACAGCTGATGCCAGCCAACCCGATTGGACGGCCTGACAAGTCGAGAGAGAGAGAACGGGACCGAATATGCTTGGGGCCTCGCCAATTTCATCCTCTCGGACTGGATCCATGATCGAAGATGCGAGCGGGGTTCCTCCATCCCATCCCAAAACTCAGCAAAGTCCGGGCATCATGCAGAGGTTGCAGACAGACACACCTTGGGGGCTAATGTCGCATTGCCAGCCATGCCAGCACATGGCCCTCCTTCGCTTGCGATCACCCAGTTCACCTACGTCTTGCAAGTGTGAGTAGCAGCGCAGGCCCAAGCTGCAGACGACAAGCCAAGTCGCAATGGGGAAGGAAGTCGCTCCAATTCCCGACCCCTGGTATTCGCTTCGTGCTCTTAGTCTTATCCGTTTTGGCTTGGCTAGTTTCCTCCCGAGTGGGAGTTGACAGTCTGTCACTTGTCGGCCGTATTAAATCTGGAGATGTCCGCTGTTTCCTTGAGAGACCCGTGTCGGACTGACTCCTGTCCGTCTTTGTCTCAACATCTCCTGACTGGACTTCTCCTGTATTTCGAACAGTCAAACAAAGCCGGAGACAAGTCCCACTTTTGATCTGAAAGTGAAGTCCACCTTACACCTCACCAGCCAGGACACCAGTGCTCCAAAGCGGCAACCTGCATCGAAACAGACAGCTGGAAACATTAATCCCAACACCACACCACCCAAACAAACCCACAGCAATCAACCGAAGAAGGCCGGTCGACGCCCAAAGGCAAGCACCCGTTCCTGTCGTGCCACCATACGCTCAAACCCAATCCTGCAGCAAATCAGCGCCAGACCTCGCCGTGACATCGACCAGACTCTCGGAACCCGGACAACCCTGCATAAACCCATCCTGTCGGGATCGCCCATCGCCCCCTTCTGTTTTAGTAGACCTACGTCTGCCCCTGTTTGGTAAGAAACACACAATATCTCCCCCT